CCAGGGTCTCACCACTCTCATGGTGAAGAACTTCTTCCTCACATCCAGCCTGAATCTGCCCACTTCCAGCTTTGCCCCATTCCCCCTAGTGCTGTTGTTACTCGATATCCTAAAAAGATCTAGCTAGAGTCACTATCCTCCATTAATGCAGCAACACAAACTCAAAAATGCCTCCAAACTATTCTGAACTCTTCAGATGAAATTTGCTCTAGCTCATCCTATAAAACACTCTGTAAATATATTTATTCCAGCACCAAGGTGGACATGAAGAGCATTGCACACTACCAAGTGCTACTGTAGTTTTGTTACTGATGCACTGCAGTACAGTAGAATGGTCTGGCTTGGAAGAGACCTTAAAGATCACCTAGTTCTAATCCTCCTGCCATGGGCATGGACATATCCCACAAGACCACATTGCTTAAAGCCCCATCCCACCTGCTCTTGAAAACAACCAGTGATGGAGAATCCACAGCTTCCTTGGGCAGCCTGTTCCAGTGTCTCAACACCCTCAGAGTGAAGAACATCTTCCTAATTTATAATTTAAATCTACCCTCTTCTAATTTAAAGCCATTACCCCTCATCCTATCACTACAAGCCCTTGTAAAAAGTCCCTCCCCAGCTCCCTTGTGGGCCCCCTTCAGATACTATAAGGCTGCAGTAAGGTATCCATGGAGCCTTCTCTTCTCTAGGCTGAACAACCCCAACTCTCTCAGCCTGTTCTCATAGGAGAAGTGTTGCAGTTCTCGGATCATCTTTGTGGCCCTCCTCTGGCTTTGCTTGAGCAGATCCATGTCCTTCTTATGCTGGAGGCCCCAGAGCTGGATGCAGTACTCTAGGTGAGGTCTCACAAGAGCAGAGTAGAGGGGTAGAATCCTCTGCCTCGACCTGCTGGCCACAAGTCTTTTGATGCAGCCTAGGATAAGTTTGGCTTTCTGGGCTGCACTCACACATTGTTGGCTCATGTTGAGCTTTTCATCAATCCACACTCCCAAGTCTTTTTGCTCAGGGCTGCTCTCAGTCCGTATTCCACCCAACCTGTATTTGTGCTTGGGATTGCCCCAACCCAGGTGCAGGACCTTGCACTTGACCTTGTTGAACTTTGTAGGGTTGGCATGGGCCCACCTCTCCATCCTATCAAGGTCTCTCTGAATGGCATCCCTTCCTTCCACTGCATCATCTGTAAACTTGCTGAGGATTCACTCAACACCACTGTCCATGTCACCAACAAAGATGTCAAAGAACACCAGTCCCAATGAAAAATGACCCAACATAGCTGGTGGTAGAGATGCTTTCCAAAATGTTTAAGTGTTGTCTGGAGACAAAAAATAACCCAGAGGAGACAAATATTTCCTTTTGTGCTGTTTTCTGTATGAACATTTCAGTGTTAGAAAGAAATAGGATTATGAAGAATATTAGTAATTGGACGACAATATGGGTGTCATATGGATTTAGCATGAAGAAATTCAATGTTGTATCTTATTTGCAGTTAGTGTCCAGAGGTGCTGTTAGAATCAAATCCTTAAAAGCTCTTCGTTATCCTTATCTGTTATTGAAGTGTATTCCTGTGTGTCTGAACAAATCCTACTGGTGCTTTAGTTCCGAGGAATAAAGGGGTATTAACTGTGTGGTAGGCATTCACTCTACTGTGGTGAATTGGTCTTGAAAACATCTCACAAGCAGCTTTGTTCTCTTTCAAAGCAGTTTTCCTGGGGGGCTCTTTAGTCCTTTTCTGTTCAGCTATAAGTAAAATGTTGCTTTTGATGTGGCTTTGGTCCTTTGTAAAAGCTATGTTGAAGATTTACAAAAATCGGGTATCTAATGAACTGCCAGGGGATACATGAGCATGGCATGGCCACAGTAGTTTATACCCTTAGTTTCTATTAAAACTCTTTCATAGTCTAATGTAGAGAATATTCTTTTCTGCTCATAGCTCTTCAAATTTGAGGATCATCACTGCTGTAATATTCAATTACCTACTTTAGTGTTGACCGTACCTAGTATGTTTTATCTTACTATTAATATATACATATAGAACCTTATAAAGTATGAAGCAAATCTCTGCTGACTTTGATTGAATTATGTTCTGTATATTGTAAAGCTTAAATATAAGTCATGATGGCTGTAACAGAATAAAATCACATCTGTGAAATTAAAGAATATCATAATGTACATACATATTATTCTACAGCCTTATAAATGGCATCATTATTCTGAACTGGTATTTTGTTCTTTGGATACACAAAACCATTAATCTGATACTCAATACTGGTATTTTTAGAAGGAGATTATCAGTCATCTATGCAGAATGACCATCTAGCTAATTAGTATCTGTGGCTGCTTTGTGTCTCTATTACTGGTTTTGCAAGGGATGAGTGAGGAGCCATTTCAGAAATGTTAACGTCAAAATTCAATCATGTAGAGGTATTTTACAACTTAATATTTCTGCATTCCTGTGCAGTTCAGAGGGACATGAAATTAATTTTGCTTGCATATTCCAAGTAATCTGACAGTGGTGGGGACCAGCTGTGGGCTTTCAGAACACCAGTGGAACACAGGTCTCTTGTAGGAAACAGGGTGGGTCTTTCTGAAATAAGAGAAGGTATCAGCCAGGCCTACAATCAAAGTATCAATGTAACTTTGTGTATTTTATATCTGTAAGGTTATGTCTCTTGCAGCTGTGATCTCTCTAGTCTGCTCTGAACTGGAAATAAGATACTACAACTAGCAAATTCATTCCTTGAGTTTGGGCATGGCTAGCAGTGTGTTTGACAGATTATTTTTCCTATAGATTTCTACTGCAATTGTCCAAAAGCAAATGGTTGTGTATCCCATGTGCAAATGAACACTTACCTTGGTTTTACACAGTGTAGGCAACTCATGGGATTTGTCAGGGAATTGCAAATGAAGCTTGTCCATTAAAAGTGGATAGAAGCATGATTATGGTGTTTCTCCACAGAAGACTAAAAGGCCATAGACAAAAATTTCTTATTTTAGTTGGCTTCTAAATACGTGACAAATTATTTCTTCCAGTTCACATGAACCTGCATAATCAAGCCCAAGTCCTCCATACGAATGTAGCAAATGGTGACCTCCTGAGACACCTTACAACCTGAATTATTCTGTGAACTGCTATACACTCAGCCTCTGCACAAAGGTGGAGTTTGCTTATTTGCCATCAATTAAAGGATCAGGCACTGTGAAATAAATAGGATCAGCTGCTTCGAAACGTGTCTGGAAGTCTATCTAAACTAATGGTCATTGATGAGTTTTTATGGTGATCTGCTCACCTTTGTGAAAGCCTGTAGTCATGTGTGTTAATTGGCTTTTTTCTTGTGCCGTGATGGAAGTTTAGTTTTGATTTTCAACTTATTGAAAACAGTTGTAGCATCTCTTTCCTTGTGGATACAATATTCACTTAAAGGAAATACTAAGGAAATTCTTGGGAAAATACTTTCTCGAGAAGTTTGTCTGAGGTTGCCTTGTGCAGCCTTTAATACTAATGTGCTTTGGACCATGAAGAACAGGTTTAACCATCCAACTGAGGCCAGGCTGCAGGGCTGCTGTCACACCACACTGTCACCTGCCTGCTCCATAGCCAGCGTAAGCAGGCAGTGCAAAGTGACAGCTGAGACTAGTGAGTGACAGGGCTGACTTGACAGTGCCCATCTGAGGACTGCTCTGGGGGATTTGTGCTTTGGCAGGAGCTCACTGCTTGACACAGCAAGGGTAGCAGCAGTTAGTAGGCTTGAATTAATTATAAAAGGGTTAACATACTATAAGTACCATTTTCATAACTGACAAAACAATTCTCAAAATTATTTAGATTCCAAAAGTTCTTCCATGCATAACCAGCATTCATCCACTCAGAAGTTATTTCTAATGCACACTAGCATTTTGCATAGACCCTATAAAGTATGGATTAACTCTTTATTAATAGCTGTAAATTTAAGCCTGACTTTAAAATCTCCCTATAATAATGCTGTTATTGGTAATCATTTGGACTCTTCCTGGAAGCAGTAAAGAAGTTGTTTCTCTTTTTCACACTTTCTTCTCTCTGTTAAGAAAAGACAAACTGGATTACGGAGTTATACAGATAAAACGTGTTTAAAATTTATTCAGTGCCTGTGCATGTTTTATTTCTGTATACATTGA